CTTTTACATTAACATCAATTACGCTTAAAAGTAATCTTATTAATTGAAGCATTAATGAAGAATAATTAAATTTATTTTAAAGATTTAATTCTTTTTTATCTTTTTGTTGAATAGACTTATTGCATGATGGTGTGAAAATCTTCCCCATCTATCTCCAATCAAATAGTTATTTAATTGTTTAGGCTTCTTATTAATGCTCATTTTAGTCACTTGCTATAAAAGACAACTCTTTAATGAAAAACATTTGCTTGCATACATGTGATCAAGTGAAATCTATCATCATTTCTATTCATCCGCTCTGCCATACAAGTTTGTCCACTCTATCATCCTTATTTGTCTACCTTGTTTCTTCTTAATGCCATTTGCAATCAACTCTTGGTACCATAGAGGATGCTCTCTTTTAAATATTACCTAACCTTTTGCCACCATAGGCGTAATGTGCTCAATTTATTGTAAAGGAATAAGTTCCTACCACAGCTTCTCAGCGACCCAAATTACTTGTTGAATCTAGCTTCTTGTCACTCTCTGGGGACTAAGCAGTTCTCTTATAATCGTATCTAGCTCACTCAAGCTCACTGGTTTGCTGATGGCTCTCCGAGCACTGTAGAGATGCTTAAGGCATTTCTTAAGTTGAATGTCCATAATGCCTGAATTACTTTCTACAATTAGTTTTTCATAATTGCAACTGAGATAGATGATAGAATAACCAAATTGCTTAGGATTTAGTAGGATAACAAGTTAAATTGATCACTTAAAATGGACATCTAAAATATATAGAGACTATTTTGGTAATTTTCTTTGATTGATATAATAGTCTTATTAATATTTCGAAAGCATTTGACTAACTAGAATTTATTCGTTTATATAAATGAGGATATAGCGCACAACTATTGTAATTATCTTTTTATTATGATTTTTTTAAAATTAATATTAGTTTTTTTTTCTTCATTCAGTATAAGGCTTCTTCAAGGACTTTCATTCATATCACAAGAAATTTATCCTCTCTAGTTTATATTTGTTACTTTACCTATTGTGTACAAGATCAAGGCCATCAAAAATTTTCATGTGCTACATTTTTATATGATTACTGACACATACGTTTTGTTTTTCCCTCTGAAGAGTAGTTTAACAGTATATAGAACTTATTATTTAGAAACTGATTAATGTATTTTTGCTATTTTTTGTTCCACATATGTCATCCAAATTCTAGTCCATTGTAGGTGATGGATGTCTATGTGTGTAATCTAAACTGTAAATACACTTCTCTGTTCTTACTAGATAGACAACTCATCCTCTTGGTTTTGCATGCCAAACCTTTTATTTTCAATGCTCAATGCACAATAATCATAGCCCTTTTTATTTTTATGATAATGTTTCTGCATAGAGTGTAATAAATATAAGACATTTGGAAGTAACATCAAAACATTGACTCTATTGGAACACAAATTTAAAACTCTTCAATCTACATAGAATCATATAACTATGTTATCTAAAATATCATTTAGTTTTTAGACATTTAAGATAAGATGCCATAAAAATTGCTTCATGCAATCCTAGTCTCCATCCAAAATGTTCAATGTTTTGGGTGTAATATTACATGGTTGGAGAACATTTTGTTCTTAGTCAGCATTCAGAATTAGGGCTGTCAAAAAAGCTCGTTGTTCGCGAACAGCTCGTGTTTGGCTCATTATGTAGCTCATGTTCGGCTTGTTCGTTAAGTAAACGAGCCGAAGACAACACGAACAAATTTTTAAGCTCGAAATGTAAAAAAGCCGAACACGAACAACAGTTTGTTCGCTCGTGACTCATTTTAGCTCGAAATAAAAAAAAATTATATAAATTTTTATAATAATAATTATTATATATATTTATATGTAAGTTTATTTCGTACTAGCCTGTGTGGTAATGCGGTTATATTCATTTTTTTTTTTTTTTTGCATAGATTTAGTCCACGCTTGAATTAAGGACTCTACATTTATTTTTTTCAATTAATTTTAACGAGTCAATTTAAAGTCGAACATGTACAAGAATAATGATTTCGCACACGAGCTATTTCAAATGATCCAAACACAAGCCAAGCTTGAGCTTGCTCAAGCTCGGCTCGTTTACAACCCTATTCAGAATTTTGAGGATGCTGTATGGTTTTTTCTCTTGCATGACTAAGCGTCTGAGGTTTCGCCTTTTAGTTGGAGATAATTCTCTTGCTCTTTCTCTCTCTTTAATGTTAGGACATATTATAGGATCTTATCATTAATAATGCATATCTAATATGTGATGGGGAAAACAATACAATAACACACAAGTTTTTAGGATAATAGCCATTAATCCAAATTAACTATTGACGAATTCTAATGAAAACTGAGATTGGAAATTTGATGCTTGAATTAAGGATCATAAATGCTTGTGATTGTATTGACATTCTATATGATTGAAAGATGCTCTGATTGTATTAAATCAGTAAAAATTTAGAGGAGACAGAACAATATAAGGGAAAGAATTCACAAGAAATCTAAGCATCATATTTTTATACAGTGATAGCTTCTCAATTGATTAAAAATTCTTACAATTTATCTATGAAGTTAATTTCATAAGAACAAGAATTTGCACATTCAATGTATTTTCTTATCCATCATTCTAAAAGCAAGGTTGTGCTATTTATGAGCCTATCAGTTACCTTTTAATAATAATTAAGTATATTCTAATTAAATCAATAAGAAAGCACCCATTAGAAGGAAGTATCCTAGAATCTAAAAGACATCATAATTTACAACCACTGGCTCCCTGTTACTGTCCTCGAGGGTGGAACAAAAAGCTACCCTTGTTAGAAATCATTAGCTTCACTGGTATTGCAGGCATGCTAAAAGAAACTCAAAAATAGCAAAGGATTTGCTAAAACTTGAGATTGCACCCCAAATATAGGAATTATTGGAAAAAAAAATTGTTTATTAGCTCCAAATTGAGGAATAATTTGATAAAATGGGAAATGGCTCGAGTGGTCACAGAGTGATTACTATTTTTGCATCACTCCCTCCTCTCTCCTTTCCTTATTTTTGTTATATCACACATCTGAAAGTAAAGTCAAAACATTATTTTATTTGGTCTTTCCAAAATTAAAATTCTTAAATTCACACTTGAAATCATAAAGTAAAGCTACAGTAAATTTTCATTTGTTTTTGCTTTACCTATACTGAGAAGCCATAAATACTTAGTAGTTTCAATGTTATCTCAGAAACTTTCATTTATGTGTGCCATATTGAATTGTTGAAATGTATTTAAAATTTCTATTGAATTGCACAATTTCTAAAAGAAGCTGTGATTTCATTTACATTTTTGAAAGTACAAGCCATCCCCTTCTAGGTGTAGATAATTCTATCTCTTTCTAGTATTTGCTTTATTTTGCTTGCCTTTGGTCCCCCTCATCTTCGTAGCTTTCTCTTTATTTAACTCCCCAGTGTTTCTTAGGAACAAACTGTCTTGCTCTCTCATGCGTTCCTTCTTCTACTTCTCCCATCCTCTCTCTCTCTCTCTCTCTCTCTCTCTCTCCTATCTTTTTATCTTATATACGATTCTTTGAAATTTAGTATGACTAATGAACACCTTATCTTATATGGATAATCCTAATGATGATAAGTGATTTTAAATGTAAACCTTATCTGATAAATTCTAGCAATTGTTATCATGGAACTTCGAAAGTGTATTTGTGATTGATCTATTGTAGATGTTTTATATTTGTGTTAATTTGTGCCATGTTTCATGCAAATCAACTCATGAAAACCACTCGACTAGAATAATGTGTGATCTAATTGATACTCACAAGTCGATGTTTATGATACTGAGATGACTTTTGGTTGTTTTTAAGTCAGGCAGTCTACAATAGGCTTGGCTTTCATGGAACCTGAATTCATCAAATTCAATGTGCAAGGAAACTGGTAACTCAATTGATAGATTCCTATCAATTAATTGTTATTGTTGAAGGAGGATTTCTGAAGTCAATCCCAAATGTTTATGAAAGGCTAATGATGTGGCCAATATGAAACTAAAATTTTAGGAGTCAAAGGAAAATATTTAAAAGCACAAATAATACTGGTCCATGAAAATAAACACTAGAAAATTTACTAAATTCTTTGGCAATTATAGAGAAAAGAGGTGAAATACTCTATCATCACTTAGCCTTGAAGGAGATGATAGAAAGGCTACTTTTCAAAACTAGTTCTTCAAGCATGTAAAACATAATTAATAGCTTTTTATCAGCCCAAGGAAGACATGATAGTAAACTTGACTTTGAAGAGTGAATTTTCAATTCCTCTTAAATATCGCTTAATTTTAGATGTCAGATTGCTTTCAGGCGGGCCCCATATGCATTTTTGAAAACAATAATGATTTTTGATGTTATTATTTGTGGAATTAGTTATAATTTGTTAAGTATAGGTGCTTTTGGTGTCCAACAATTTCCTATTATTCACCAAACAAAACACTTTCTTCATTTGACATTATTTTTATTATTCAATTGGTTGTGTCCAATCCGATTAATCAATGACCATATTTGCACCTCCATGATAAGTTTGAAGAGGATAGAGCTTTTTGTTAGGTCGATTTTATTTATAATCATTTAACACCTTTGTTCCTAATTGCAAGGTTGCAACAATTCAAATGGTAGTTCTCTTATTATCCTAATCCTCAATTTAACAATGTGATTGGACATTATATTCATGTGAGGTATTTGCAATCCCTTGCCAGATTTCAAAGCTATGCATCTTATTGATTGATACATTTAAAATGAAAGCTTTTTTTTCCTTTCCATTTGTTGCTTGACCTTTTGCGAGACGACACAATCTATAGTTTTCAAAGTAAATATCTCTTGTTTGATTACTTATCTTTTTAATATGGTCATCGTCTTTTGTTTTGGTTAGATAGCTTGATTAAATATTCTATATTGTGGTGTGTGTATTTCTATAATAACCTCCAGCTTTGAAATTGAAGTGTTTGGTGTTTCCCTGTAGGCAGGCAAGTTGGAGCCCAACCAGATGTCAGTGCGATATGCCATTGCTCTGCATCGAATCAAATATGTTGAAAGATTTCAAGAATGTAATGATCAAATAGCATGGGCTGCAAATGAGATGGCATCTATTCTTAAGGAAGGAGATCCTTCAATGATTGATCTTCCAATTACATGGGCAGGCTTGGCATTGGCTCATAGAGTAGAACATGAAATTACGGTAACACGTGAAAGTGAAAATAAGGGGCTTGTAGAGGTTGAGGAGCGTGCTCTTTATTCACTAAAACAGGTAATCATCATGATTAAGGGCATGAAATTAACTTTGTATGGCTCTACTCATTTTTGGCTTTCATTGCAATTTTAACATTTGCTCTAAAGTATGTTGTTAGTTTTAGTTAACATACACATGCATGAATATATAGAGTCAGCAAAATCTGTAATTTCTATTAAATAAAATATTTAATCTATCTTACAACTACCCTTATTGTCAATGATAAGAAAATTTTAACGAAATTTCTGTACCTTTTGAATTTTTTTATTTTGTTTAAATTTTAATTGAAATTTATTATAAGAAATATAAATTTTTATAATTCAAGCATCACTCTAACTTAAGATGAAAATCTTCTTGGTATTTATTTTAATGCTTGCAAATATTTATTAGAACTTTTGAAATATTGTACTATGTCATCATTTTCATTTGTTCATTAAAATTTTGCAGATGGCTAAAAAATAGACGTTCTTTTTTTGCTGATAGAAGTTGTTTCTTATTGAGATTATAAAATTTAGTATTATGTCAATAACAATGGATATATATAATAGAAAAAAAATGACTATTAATAAAAATCCATATCTGATAGGAGTAGCATGAGTCATCAGAATATTAGTTGAAAATTAATTAAATTATGAACTAGTGCAAAACATGCATCTTTCCAATCATGAGTACATCATATTAAAGTAATATATTAGTTTAATTAAATGAACTTAAAATAGCATCATGTTTCTACATACTCATCTTGCCACTATAAGAATTGTTAAATTAAGGTTAAAATTGCTGGGAGTTTATTTGAGTGAAGTATCAATTGCCTTTTAAATAATAGAATAGAATGCGTTGTTTTACGTTGTCAATTAAAGAGGATATTTGTGGTAAGAATTCTGCTAATATTATTGTCTAGGTAATTATCATAGTTGAAGTTCTTTGTTAAAAGTAGTGTAACAAAAATTTCATTATTAATAACTCATGCAAAATTTGTTAATATCCAAATTTAAATTCATAATAATTAATTGTAACCTAATTAATTTATCTATTTAGCTTTTTCTAATTAATTTTGACAAAACATTATTATGTAATTTATGATAAGTTACATATCTTATAATGATAATAATTTGATGGGTATGGTACTCGAGAGGAGATTGAATTTGTGTTTCCAAAAATGTTTGCAAAAAAAGTTTTAAATATGAGAAGAAATAACAATTGCATTATGAATATAAAGTGCAAGTAAGAACAATAAATAACATTAAAATTTTATGTTGTTTAGTCTCGACTAGCTTACACAATGCCTAATTCTAACTCTGATCTGGATTCTACTAACTCTAGGTTGTGCCAACAAAATGAATCCTTTGTTCTATGAATCAATGGATAATTTTCCACAAACACTTTTACTCTCTTTGTAATGCGCAAGTGATACTCAATACACAATACAAAATGAAACACTAAGCCTTTGAAGAAGTATTCATTGAAGAAAGAAAAATCTTACAATGGATGCAATCCTTTTGGCTCTTACTCTTCATTTGCTCTTGATTTCTTTTTGTTGAATAATTTGAATGAGAGATGTAGAATGAAGGCGATCAAGAGAGATTTTTTTTATGAATTTCTAAGAATTTTAGGGTAAGTAGGTGTATGTATAGATCTTATAATAGCTTCAAAACGTCTCACAACAACTCCATTAGATCATAGAAGGAAATATTTGAGAATCAATATTTTTCGTGCTAATAAATTACCAGCCTTTACTATCATAGTTAGCAATGTTTTGTGAAATAACTTATAAAAACTCACAAAGATAAAGGATATACACCAATTTTTAACTTTTGTTTGCAAATGCTCAAATGTTACTTGTATGATTGCTCATCTAAAGTTTGCATATTAATTTGTAAACAAGTTTGCAAGGACCTATATTTTTAATTTGATTTAAATAATGTATACCCTTATAATTGACAATTATCAACAGATAATGATGACTAAATTTTAATTAATATTTTAATAATTATAACAGAAACATATTTTAATTAATTTGAGCAAGTTTAAGTACATGGACATAGTGCTAAATTGTCATATGGTTATACACAAATAAATACTAGTGTTGAAAAAATATATCTCCAATTTTTCTTTAGCTAAAGTCCAACATTTTGACTCCTTGTTTGTGTCGTCATGGTCAACTAGATCATGTCTTTGATTTTGATCATTTTCAACGTCACAATCCAAGCATCTTATCAATTCTGTAACCACTTCACATGAAATATTAATATCTCTAATACATGTTATCATCAAAGTGATTTTTTTTTTGCATAATGGGCTCAAGCAGTTAATGGTTTTCCTCCTTTTATGATGATAAACCTATTTTATTAATTATAAGAGTTTTGGTGCAAAATGACATCTCTCCCATAGTAATATGTAAATTTAGTGTATCACGCCCTTGAATATATGCATTATAAATAAGTGAATAAATATCTAACATATATCTAGTGCACTTTTTGGGAATATTGAAAAGATAGAACAATTAATATATTCATGTCAATTGTGAGTAAATTACATAAAGCAATTAATAAATAAAAAAAGGATGAATCATACAATGTTCTCTTTGTACATCACAAAAATCTATCCTCTACTGAAGGTTTGATAAAAAATATATGCAATAATAAATTCAATGTCCACGAAATCAATTTTGGCATTTCTTTTAACAAAATGTTCTTGATTAAAAAGATGTTTAATTTTGATGTATATTGTTCATGAACGCTAAATAGGATTCTTAAGTTTAATTGGTAGCGCTAATGTTATCGCATGTAAGTATCATGCATTTTAATTTTATTCTGTTATAGCTATTAATTTAACCAAAGCATCTATGCAGCTCAGTTGCCTAGATGGAAAATTGTCTTTGAATAGAAGTAAGCAAATATTTCATTGGGAAATAATCCTAAGAATATTATAAAACTATTTTGGGGGCTCATTTCCGAAAATGAAATAAATACTTTATTGCACTTAAGTAAAATTTTATATATTTTTAGTCTAAATTATGTAAGACAATAATTTAAGGGTAATTAAAACTACTATGAAAATATCATATAAGATATGCAAGATTGAGATCACCATGTTTTTATTATATCATATAGTAGTAAAAACAAATAAAAAGAGTGATGCATAAAAGTAAAGAGTAAAGAGTAATGAGAAGCAAATCAATTAATCATGGTTTAGCCCCATGCTTACATCCACATCTCATGCTCTCTCTCGAGTTTCACTTCTCTCTTTTAGCCACAAGGTGTTGAAACCTCTTTCATTAATTGGCAATATAGTAACCTTTCTACTTTAAATGTGAAGAAAGCTACTCTGGCTCACTTGCTAGTGATGCAGAAGTCCATATTTTTCTAGAATGGGAGAATTCTCATAAACACAAATGTACTACTGTTACAATAATCATATATTCAAATTGGAGGAATGCAATGCTTATAAAAAAGATAATTTCTTTGTGCATGCTTATTTAAGAAACTCTCGTTAGTGATTATAAATTAAATCTAGAGAATATTGCTTAAGAAAAATTCTTCTCTGTGTTCTTTGACTAGTTTTCGCTCACTCTCATGTTTAGATTTTGAAAATCATTTTATATTAAGTGCATTAGCCTCAAAACCCTACATATTTGAATTAATTAGAGTGATGATTCATCATACAACTTAGTCTACATTGTAAAATATGATTAGTTAAACCTTTTTCATATTTATTAGCTATTAATATTAGTTGGTTAAATTTGATTAATTTTTTAAATCTATTGTATATTAAATTTTGAATTAATTTGAGTAAAAAAATTAATTTGTTCATTTAACTATTTGAAACAAAATTTATCGTACGGTATGGTTCATTTATAAATTTTTTGATTTTTAAAATAATATATAAATTTATATAT